ACTGTATTGAAAGGTGAAGTGTTTTCAATATCTAAAATTTAGAATTTCGTCTGTGTGTGGGAGGGGTGGGGGTCTTGTTCCAACGCCAATATACCGGTCTAGAATGTTGAGATTTGCAAAGCATTCTGTATGCATTTCTCATAAAGTCTTACGTAGGAGATACACATTCCTAATTAGGTTTGTATCTCCTACGTAGGAGTTATAAAGTCCAACGTAGAACTTACAAACACCTAGAAGGTTTTTTCATCTCCTACGTAGGAGTATAGTCTTACGTAGAAGTATAAACGTCCCACGTAGGCGTTAGAAAGTCCTACGTTGGACCTATAAAGTCCTACTTAGGAGTTAAAGGGTTTCCGCTGAGTTTTTTTGACATGATGGTACTGAAAATATTTTTCCAGATAAATGTACCATTTGATGTAGGTTTAGACCACTAATCTTTGTGCAAAATTTCAGATCATTCGCGTACTTCGTTTTTCCAGAATAATTATTCAAATTGTAAAAAGTGCTCAAAATTGAAAATCGTTTAAACTTTTTTCACTCAAATCGGGATATGAAAAGCATAAACATACGATTTTAAATTTATTTCAAAGTATATTTCTTAACTATCTTGCATATATCTCTGTTTAAGGTTCCCCAGCTCATTCATTTAAGAAATTCAAATGATCTGATATTAGGCATTAAAACCTCAGTGGAGTCCCTTTAAAAAGTTCTACGTAGGAGTTATTATGCTTTTTTATCTCTTACGTAGGAGTTATCATTTTTATTGAACATGTTAAATAGGCACCAGGACGCTTTCGGGACAGAGATGTAATTATAGGTAATTTTCGATATATCGTTGATATGCTTTGCACTGAATCAATGACAGCTCTAATTTTACGTATTGTGTTCCAGTATTGTAATTAAAAAGTTCAATTTTTGTGTCGCCTCTACAAAGTAGTGGCGACATATAGGGATCACATATTATTGTCGGTCTGTCTATCCTAAAATTTGCCAGACTACTTCTCAAAAAGTACTTGTGCAATTTCATCCAAACTTTACAGGAATGATTAATACCAAGTCTAGTTGCACATATGGTAAGCATTTTCCTTTTCAATGGTTTTATCAAGAGTTATGACCCTTTACTGAGGCTACTATTTTTATACCACTTATGTTATTTCAATGAAATTTTACAGGACTGATTGGTAGCTCAAGTGCCTGCACATATTACACAGGTTTTGTGTTGAATGATTTTTGGCTTGGTTATGGCCCTTGAATTAAAAAGATTGGTTTTTATTTGTTTGGGTCGTCAGACCAAACAAATGATGGTAGCAAAATTTCAGACCCTGATGCTGTAAATTGCAAATGCCGAAAGTAGCCCGCTTTTTTGAAGTGGTTACTTCCCTTTATATGTACACTAACGCCGAAAAAATTCAGGGGAGATCACTGCGTAAAGATGTCAAATGACAGGCGCATTAATTTTCAAGCAAAATAGTTCCCGAATGGTCGAAGATTTCTAAATTGTTTTACTCTTTATAGATATACATGTACATGCTTATAGTAAGCTCCATGATTCTGAGACCCAAACAAATTCAGCGCCTTCTGTGCTTTGATTCTGTGTGTTGCCAGCTACACAGAATATTGTCTTTATATGAGTTATGACCCTTGAATTGAAACGTGTTTTGTTCTGTTATTGACTTTGTGTCTCCTGCTACACAGTAGCTTCCAGAAGCAATTGGCATTTGTGATCACTGCCCTCGTTTATTTTTTGTAAACAGACATATGGATGGAAAACTCCTATTTATCAAAAATAATCTGTACTTTTAATTTGTAAAACATACTGGCTGTTAAGCTATATACATAAATTGTGGTTTATTCCAAATTTGTTTTATTATATTTTAAAAGTTTTATTTTGAATCATTATATTCAGTTATGTTATTGTTGAAGTGGTGATGTCACATTTTACATATTGCTAATAACTCACATGGGAACCAGCTGGACAGAGGTTAGCATTTGTAATGGCAAATTGTCTGTCAATGTTTCTAAATTTGTTTCTAAAACTAAATATTGTGTTTTTTTTAATAAAAACCTGTTTCTAGGTGACACTGGACAAAAAGTGCATGTATATTAATGGTTCCTACTTAATGCAAAAGAAGATCACTTGATAGGTAAAAATAAGACTTTAAACTGGACATTTGTCCGGAAATTTTCTCTCCATAGTCCATGTAGTCCACATTGTACCGAGCTTAGATATTTGGCATGTTTGTATCATTGCATTGTTGGTCTAATTACATGTTAAATAAACATGGTCCTTGTCTTAAATATTCCAACTCTTGGATTACTTAGTATCTAATTACTTGCAGCGTAATTCTCTTCCAAAACTCCAATGCCGATGATCTATTATCCATAATGAACGATCTGTTGGTCATCTGAGGAAAAGTCAAGTTCCCTTGTAGGAATTTACTACGGCCAGAATTAAATATTTGACACAAAGTTTTGCCTTTTGAATCTTTATGCAAATTACTTTTATCATTCCAAATACTTTTATAATTTGCATTGAAGAATAATGACCTCTTATTATCCTTAAAGGTCCATTATGCCCTAGAAATGCTTTCATTTTTATCTCAAAATATTTTTATTGTTGGTATTATATTATATTTTCAAACAAGCTACTTACTGGTCAATTACCATAACTGTCTTAACCTTATGATGCTTTTCGGCAAGTAAATTTCTAGTGATTTAGTATTTTGTATGGAAGTCAAAATGCTACTTTGCTTACATTTTGCTACTCTATAACGTTTACTTTTACATTAAGTCCTATTTCCTTTAGGTACCAAGCATTTAACATTCTCTAAAACCTTTACTTAAATATTATAAAATGTTACAATGACATTTCTTAAGATATAAATATTTTTTCATTTCTGAGGCATAATCATGCCTTTAACAAGTTTCATTGAAGGTTCATTTCATCTTCTCGTACGTCAGAAGATATGATATCAAGGTCCTGCGATAGCTAACAAGAGCCCGGTATGAGCCGGGTGATGCTCCCCGAATAGGTTTTCGACACAGGAAAGTACACCTCTTGTAGTTTCAGAGTTATGCTCCTGGAAAAAGTTCAAAGTGCAATAATTCCAAAATTAGGCAAAGCAGAGTTATTGTTCTTTGCACTGCACATCTAATCAATGCGATCTATCAACCTACAAAGTTTCTTGTTGATATCTCTTATGGTTTCCGAGTTATGTCCCGGACAACTTCAAATGTAAAAATGAACAGAGGGCAATTACTACAAAATTTGGCAAGGTGGAGATCACGTTCTTGTGCACTGCACATCTCCCCATTGAGATCCATCTACCTACAAAGTTTCATGTTGATATTTCTTGTAGTTTTAGAGTTATTCCCCGGACAAGATTTTTTAAAAGGGGGATAATTAAAAAATTGGGCAAAACAGAGTTATGTTTTTTTTTGTACTGCATTTTACTCAATGAGATCAATCTACCGTTGATATATCTTATAATTTTAGCGTAATTTCAAGACAAAGTTCAAAAAGTAAAAATAAACAAAGGGCAATAACTCCAGAATTAGCCAAGGCAGAGTTATGATTCTTGTGTACTGCAAATCTACCCATTGTTCTTGCATATCAGACAGGATTATCTGCCGTTTTACACCGGTGCTAGAAAGCCCTGTCTCACACCCCCATGTAAGTCGCGAGCTTTAAATGACGTCATTGCTGCACACCTTTTATGAATGAATTGCGTTCTTAGGATGACGTCACTTAACCATGGTAACAGGAAATTTACGATTGAGCATGCTGTTACAGAGGCTATGGTCTAGTCACCATTTGTGACAAGTTTCATCAGTATTAAAGCATTTTTCATAGTTTCAAAGCAGTTTGAACTTGTCACAGGAGGTTTTTCAATAAAAACGGCCATTTTTCGCAATATGCTCATGGGGTAAAAGGTTTATTAAAAAAATGTCAAAAAACAACAATTTTCGACCAAAATTAGGTGTTAAGGCACGTGGTAACATGGGAAAACTAGTTTTGGGTAATTCCAAGGTTTTTTAATCATTTTTTGTTAAGACAAGAATATCGATAAAGGTAATGATGTTCCGAAGATGCTCCCTGAACATTTGACAATGTATTCAGTGCACACTTTATTAACAAATGTAAAAACATTTATTTCTTAGCTCAAATGACTAGAACCCCAGCAATCCCATACTCCATGGATAAGCCGAGGTATCTACCTACCAGTTATTAAAGACCTCGGTCAATAACTAAAGGCTGCCTGAACAAAACTGTTTTGGATTTTATCAGTCTTGTAACCTTGACCCAAAATGACCACTTCTCTTCCCAAAGTTATAGCAACAGCCAAGATAACTGGTCAATGAATAAGTCCCGTATAAGTAAATCTTTAGCACTGGTGACCTTTGTTCTAGCATCTTAAGTTGGATGACCAACAAAAAGTATCTACTAAAATCAGTAAATTATAAAAAAAGAGCTGAATGAACAGCAGTATAAAAATCTATTAAACATCAATGACCTTGACCAAAGTGTTCAAAGTTAGCTAAAGTCTACAAAACATGAAAGAAATCGGTCAATAAATTAAGGCTATATATCATAAACAAAAGTGTAATTGGCCGGTACTGCAAAGGGGGATAATTCAAAAAGTAATCCAGAGTTACAGTTCTTTGACACTGCTCTTTCTCTTACTGGCGTCTACAACTCTGTGATGTTTCAGCGAGATATCTTTACTTGGGACTAGTATTATTTAACATTTTCAAGTATCAAAAGACTACCAATTTGCAATTTTTAAATAAAAAATCCTCAAAATACTTTTCAAGTTATTTTCAAGGCCATAGTGACACGCTGACAAGGTGTTGACCCGCATAAATATTCTGCCAACTTAACATACTTGTGCGGCCAATGACTAATAATGCAGACACAGGGACAGATACATTGTATTAGTGTATTATGATAGAAAGCAATTACATATCGTCACATACATTTTAATGATACAAACTATATCATTCAAATATAAAACCATAGTACTTTTAGCCATAAAATATAGATTACTCAATTGTTACAGTAACAAATTTGTCAATTTTAAACATGGAAAAATGAAATGACCACCATTCACGCCTTAATATTATAAGTCCTCAGCATGTAAATGGTGATATATAATTATACATTAATGGCCTACACGGTTTGTGATATTACAATTATATATGTCCTTTAAACACGAAGTTTCAGCCACTGGTATAGACTTAATGCTTCATTACATGTAGATGACATTTCTTTGCCATTGTTTGCCAGTAACTGTTTTAACTGTTCAGCATTTTATCCATAGATTGGGTGGGTAGAAACTGTAGCTTCCATGTTTTCCGAATCTGAATAATTGGAAGAAACTTTATGATCTCTAGTACCTGAAATAGAGAAAAAATAAACATACACATTTTGTATTTTATTATTATTTACTACTTAAGTCTAGAATAATGTTTTGTCTTGTTATTTATCTGAGGTGTAAGTATGTTGACCAAGTATCAGTTTTAATTATTTGTCAAAAACAATATCACTAACTGATAAGTATATTTGTTTGACCGTCATATTGTCAAAAAGCATAAAGTATGAAAGTTAGAGGAAATATGTTAGATTGGTGAAATACACTAAGCCATCAACCAATGAGAGACTTGAATTTGAATTATTGGTGTATATTTGTCAAGGCTTTTGACTTGTGGCATTTCTAGAAGGTACTATCGCTTTCTTATACAGTTTTTTGAATTGCATATTTGCCCAACAACTACATTCTTAAGCATTAACGCAACATTACATACTTTAGAAGTTTGATGCTAATTAATGAAGAAATCAGACTGTCTTAAATAGAAAAGTAAAAGCAATTTGTACTTAATGTGAAAGAAATACTACAATACTTGTTATAATTGTTTCAAATGTATACAAATCCTTTGTTTATACAGTAATAACATGCCAACAGAAGTCTATTTCCCTGAACAGTACAGTGTAGTAGCTTAACAAAGTTACTAAGAGTAATTTGACCAGAAAGCTATATTAAATGATCATTCAAACCAGTCGATCCTTCCCTACAAATAAACGACTGTTTAGTTCTAAATCTATAAATGTGCAGAACTTATATGCCAGGTGTGCCGGGTCAAGGTCGGGGTCACACATACAGGTCAAAGAATTGTGACTTGGGTTTTATGCCCGCTCCTTATCTCCTAAACCCCATGAAGGATTTTCATGCACCTTGAGTCAAACGTTAACCACATCGAGACCATATGCAGAACCTTTCTTTGCGTCATCGCGGACTATATATGTATTTATGTATATATATTTATATATACTAAAAACTGTTTTTTTTTATGCCTCCAAAATTTTGGTATTTGCAAATGGCGTTTGCAAATGAGGTACTGTAATTTACAGATGGCGAAGTGTTTGAAAATGGTGTTTTACAAATGACGTAACTATCCAAACCTCTACTTTGCAAATGGCGTCATGTAAAAATATGTACAAAAAACAACATACTAAAATATGTACGAAAAACTAAAATAGAATATGTTTGCAAAACTTAAATAAAATATGTATGCAAGACAATAAACAAGAGGGCCCTCTTCAGGGCCCTGAAGTCGCTCACCTGTATATAGGCCCCCAGGGTGGGGCCAGTTTAAACCCCAGGGCTTTTATTTGAACAAACTTGGTAGACACCCATTAGAAGATATTTCACGCTAAACATCTAAGGACTAGCTCATGGAGTTTTTAAAAAAAAGACTTTTTAAGTTTTAACTTTATGCATATAGTTAAAAGCAATGACACCCCTAGGGCGGGGCCAGTTTTGACCCTAGGGCTTTTATTTGAACAAACTTTGGAGACACTCACTAGAAGATGTTTCATGCTTGATATCTAAACTCTAGCTATTCTGTTTTTTTAAAGAAGATTTTTAAGTTTTTGCTATACACATATAAGGAATATCAATGTCCCCCGGGGCAGGGCCAATTTTGACCCTAGGGCTTTATTTGAACAAACTTTGAAGACACTAACTGGAAGATGTTTCATGCTAAATATCTTAACTCTAGCTATTTGGGTTTTTTCAAAGAAGATTTTATAAGTTTTTGCTTTACACATAAATAAAATCAATGACCCCCAGGGCAGAGCCAATTTTGACCCAAGGGCTTTTATTTGAAAAAACTTTGTAGACACTCACTAGAAGATGTTTCATGCTTAGTATCTTAACTCTAGCTATTTGGTTTTTTTCAAAGAATTTTTAATTTAAAGTTTTTGCTTTACACATATATGGAAAATCAATGACCCCCAGAGCAGGGCAAATTTTGACCCCAGGGCTCTTATTTGAACAAATTTGGTAGTCACCCATTAGAACATGGTTCATGCTAAATATCTTAGCTCTAGCTCTTTGGGTTCTTTAAAAAGATTTTATAAGTTTTTACTATATGCATATAAGGAAAATCAATGACCCTGGGGCGGGACCAATTTTAACCACAGGGCTTTTATTTGAACCAACTTGATAGACACCTATTAGAAGATGTTTCATGCTAAATATCTTAGCTTTAGCTCTTTGGGTTCTTTAAAAGAAGATTTTATAAGTTTTTACTATATGCATATAGGGAAAATCAATGACCCCCGGGGCGGAGCCAATTTTGACCCTAGGGCTTTTATTTGAACAAACTTGGTAGACACTCATTAGAACATGTTTTATGCTAAATATCTTAGCTTTAGCTCTTTGGGTTCTTTAAAAGAAGATTTTATAAGTTTTTACTATATGCATATAGGGAAAATCAATGACCCCCTGGGGCGGGGCCAATTTTGACCCCAGGGCTTTTATTTGAACAAACTTGATAGACACCTATTAGAAGATGTTTCATGCTAAATATCTTAGCTCTAGCTCTTTGGGTTCTTTAAAAGAAGATTTTATAAGTTTTTACTATATGCATATAGGGAAAATCAATGACCCCCGGGGCGGGGCCAATTTTGACCCCAGGGCTCTTATTTGAACAAATTTGGTAGACACCCATTAGAACATGGTTCATGCTAAATATCTTAGCTCTACCTCTTTGGGTTCTTTAAAAAAAGATTTTATAAGTTTTTACTATATGCATATAGGGAAAATCAATGACCCCCTGGGGCGGGGCCAATTTTGACCCCAGGGCTTTTATTTGAACAAACTTGATAGACACCTATTAGAAGATGTTTCATGCTAAATATCTTAGCTCTAGCTCTTTGGGTTCTTTAAAAGAAGATTTTATAAGTTTTTACTATATGCATATAGGGAAAATCAATGACCCCCGGGGCGGGGCCAATTTTTACCCCAGGGCTTTTATTTGAACAAACTTGATAGACACTCACTAGAAGATGTTTTATGCCAAATATCTAAGCTCTACCTCTTTGGGTTTTTTAAAAGAAGATATTTTAAGTTTTTTTTCTATCGGTTGCCATGACAACCAGAGTTCTGCATGGAATTAAAGTCTTTGAACAATTTTTAAAGGTGACCACCAAAGGAACATTCCTTTGAAGTTTGGATGAAATTGGCTCAGCAGTTTATGAGGAGATGTCATTTAAAGTAAAAGTTTACGGACGGACGGACGCCGGACGAAAAGCGATCTGTCACTTTGTGACAGGTGAGCTAAAAACAACAAAAAAGAACAAAAAAAAAACAACAAAAAATAAGTATAAAAAAAAAAAAAAAAAAAAAAAAAAAAACCCAAAAACAAAAATTTGCAAATGTCACTTTTATGCCACCGTAGATTTCATTATTCGGAACATTTTATTCTGTTTACGTACACTATTTATGTGTGTTAAATAACAGAGACATTCTATGTTTCAACTTTTTCGTGAATCAACAATAAAACAATGGAACCATTTTAATTTCACTGTTGATAAATTTTATAAAAATATTTCATAAATATATAATTATACCCTTTAAATGGTCTTAGCAACTGAGTTCAAAAGTGCTATGCTCTAACAGGGCAAGAATTGTCAACTAGCAGTCATAATTAAAGTGGTTAGGTCATTATTTCTACTACATCTTTGCATAGTTTTTATGTCCTTTCTCTACAAGTAAACATCTTCATAAAGTTTTTCTTACTAGTATAAGAATTTTTCAGAAAAAAATTATATCATATAATTTAATATGAAAAAACAACTTTTAAGCAAGTGCTGCATGGCGAGAGTTTTAAATGTGTTAACTCACATTTTATTTGTCTGATTGGATTTTACGTTGCACCGACATGTTATTGGTGATGTGGCGACTTTCCAGCTATACTAGTGCTGAAAGGCCTAAGGTATCTACTGGCCATAACAAATGCACCTGTGAAGTTTGAAGATTAAGGGCCCATGAGTTATTGAGATATTAATCAGAAACGGTTATTACTTATATGGTCAATGTGATCTTGACCTCTGACCCCTTGACCCAAAAATTCATTGAGGTTATCTTCTAACCAAAAGCAACATGGCTTGTCAAGTTATTCATTGGAAATCTCTTTTATCTACAAGGTCAATATGACCCTGATCCTTGTATCAGGCAAGTCATCTACAGACCAAAACCAATGCACCTGTGAAGTTTGAAAATCAAAATCCTAGAAGGTGTTGAGTTATCAATTGGAAACCATTTTGACATTCAAATTTCAAAGTCAATTTGACTTCTGACCTAAAAACCCCAAAAACATTAGGGGTCATCTTCTGGTTATGAACAACCTCATACACAGTTTGACGTTCCTAATACTAAGCGTTCTTTAGTTACTGATATCGCAAACCATTAGGTCTACGCACCAATAGACAGACAAATGCCAAGCAATATACCCCCACTTCTTTGAAGGGGAAGAGGGGCATAATAAGCATAACTTATTGCTTAATATTGATCTTACAAAATGAATTACTATTCACAGCAATCTTTGACCTTGAAGGTATGGGTGTGGGTTTTGGACGTGATGTCTTGATGTGGTAAAACATTTATGCTACATTATTTCAAAATCCTTCAAGGCCTGACAATGTTGTAGTCAGGACACAAATGTGTACCTTCATCCTCTGTGTGACCTTGACCTTTTAGGGTGTGACATTGGCGTTAAACGTGACAAATTGTCATGATGTGATTGTCATTGGTATTTGTGCAGAGTTATTTTAAAATCATTCCATGCATTACAAAGTTAGTTTGGACAAAACTGTGTGTACTGTTAATCACTAATTGTGATGTGGTTGTCATTTGTGCCTAGTCATTCTTGAGTTCTTTAATGCATGACAAAGATACAGTCTAGACTTTAATGTTGTGTAAGTGGTGTACCTTTGACCTCTTAAGTCTGACCTTGACCTTTATGGTAGTGACATGATTGTGCCTTAAACGCGACACATCATCTTGATGTGGTAGATATTTGAGCTAAGTTATTTTAAAATCCCTCAATGCATGACAAAACTACTGTCAGGACATGAATGTTGTGTATGTGGGGACACACAGACAGACATACGTAGCGTTTTTAATATGCCGCCCTTCGAAAGCATGAAAAGTTATGGATATAAAGGATATTCATAAAAATATCACGATGTTAGAATGTGAATGTTAATGATTTAAATTCACGATTAATTAATAAACTATGACATTCATCAGCTCCTTTATATACTATGTATAATGTTTATTGTTCTCAGGCTAAACAATTACCACTATGAATATGTGTGTAGCTTGTCTCATGGTCCTGAAGTCAGGATTAGTAACTGGAGTAAAATAAAAAGCTTTTTTTCTTATAAACTTTGAAAATGTTGAAACTGGGTCCTACATTTTAGGACCCAGGTTGAAAGAGCAATGATACCCTTAGGGTAGTTACTGCCCCTGTTGGTACAGGTTGCTTAACTGTAGGCCTCTTGAGAAAGAGAACCCTGCAGGTCATTTGTTTTACTATCTTGTCAAGATTGGCAGTTTATGTGAAATCAGAACAGTCAGTTCTTTGAATACATACATACCCACAAATTGCTCCATGAATGGCGAGTCCATATCATAACCATCAACATGTATCATAAAATTTGGTCCCAGATTATGGTACGGGAATTGCTTCTCCTCATGTTTACACCACCAGGGTCCATTTCATGCATCAAACGAAGAATTCTGTTTATTCTGTTGAATTCTGTTAACACATTTATTCTTGAAAATGAATATATTTTATAAAACTTCTTACTCCCAGACAAAGTTTGTTGCATAAAGAACTTAGATTATGAATTTTAATGTTTAATTGATAATGATTAAGATATATTTTATGACTTGATTGAACGTATTATGCAGTAATTTTGTAGCTTTCTAATTACTCACTTGTGAGTCATTGTATACTTTAATTATAGCAAAATCGATAATGATCAAGGCTATATTTTCATTCAAAAACAGAAAAATCTACATCTCTCTTATAACCATTATAAATGAATAACAGACCTTTGACGCATTATTCTGCATCCAAGTCGCTGACCACTTCCTTGTATTTCAAACTGAAATACCAAAAAATCGTCACATTTTCTGGTCTAAAATTTATTTCTTCAAATTTATGTTAACAAATTTAATATGTCTACATAGTTACCATAACAGAGATAAATGCTTAAATATACACTTTCACTTTTAAAATGTTGGTGATATCTTTATTTTCAGTTGATATTTGATAATATCAGTCAACTACAGTGGATCTTAAAGCCAATAAAATAATTATAATATGTAATAATCATTTCTAAAAACAATATATCGATCACCATTATTATACCCATACCTTTATTTATTTTAGATATTTATTTTTACTTTTTTACCTAAAATTGCGCATTCATAAATTTGAGCGGTTTAGAAAATCTAGACAATATATTCGACTGTTAGTGTACATGGACGTAACACTACAATAACTATTCAAAGTGTGATATAGCGGGATACAGGTACATGGGCTAATAAAATGCGGTTCTATAATAACCCATAAATGCAACAATATTATTATTAAAAGTAGGCATTGCACACATTTCATGATCTAATGAATTGTCTTTGAAAGTGCAGGGCAATGTGGATTTTCATGTAACAGATTAATAAAGTACCCTGTATCTTTGAATATATCACCAGTGTGCATTTTCATCTATGCAAATTTATATACAGTGTAGTAAATAATGTAACATTTACCAAAAGAGCTGCACGAACTAAGTTAGTGTCCAATGTCTTCTGTGAAGGTTTTGCCGTTCTAACATTCTTCTTACTGTTCTTAGGCTGTTGAAAAGGATAGGATATTTGCACAAAAACACGTGATATTAAAGTACATGATCTATCTTGATAAAAGTCATGTGAAAATAAAATTCACTATACACAAAATGCAAAGTTATAAAATCTGAAAGATTGTTTGAAAATACATTCTACGTATGCCAGCATTTTTTTACCATTTCTTATAAAATATGTACATACTTAAGTCATGCACAGATAGACTTCTTTCATTGATATTCAAAATCTAAGAATACTTGGATTTCTTTACGATATTATACCATTTCAATGAACTTTATTAGTTGCTCAGGATGTATATATTTTGAAATTATACAATCAATATTGCATTAAAGTATTTTTTGATCAGACAGATACATTTTAAAAATGATAAATTATTAAGCAGAAATATTCATCATGGTATCAGTTCAACAGTTTGACAGGCTAACATATAAACAAATCCATCAATTTAGTATCAAGGGTAAAAAGCTTTATCTAGATCTTTTTTAAATTTAAAAACAGTTGTATTACATAGAATACATAACCTTGTGGTAATTTCTCCAAACAGCTGTAACAAAAAATGTCATTACTATTTATTACACATAGATTTTGCATGTAAACCAGATTAAAATTTCCGGAACAAAATATCCTACCACTATTTTTAGTTGGTTTAACAGTCACACATATTCCACTTATAACTGGTACTTTATGTAAGAAACATTCCTAACAATACCACAATTCGTTAACAAAGGTAACGAATAAAGGACATGTATATACGATGGACAAGTTATTGTAAGTGGTCTGATGTTTCATTATTTTATATAATCACATCACTGGTGTCATCCGATTGATTTTATGATGCCTCACTTCATATGAAAAATTTGAAAATGAAACTATATATTTACCTAACATGTATCCCCTTAGTAAGTTTCAGAAGTGTCTGAATTTCCGAATTTGTCAGACCGTCCATGAATTATTGTCTGACAAAAGTGTCCAATTCTTCAGTCTCTGCCATTTCTTACCGGTGAAGACACAGCACAGTTTTACCGTAACACCGTTAGCACGTGTTTTTTTCCCGCCATAATTTCGAAGGGCGAAATTTGGTACTAAATTTCGCATATAATTAAATTTCGCTAGTCTCTTATGCGATAATTAGCGCCCTTCAAAGCGATAATTATCGCGTGAGAAACATACAACATACGAAAATTAAGACGATAATTATCGAGGCGAAATTGTTAAATTTCGCTAGTATAAGTGTCTGTGGTCTTTTGAAAGGGCGATAATTATCGCGTTAGAGACTAGCGAAATTTAAGACATGCGAAATTTAGTACTAACTTTCGCCCTTTAGAGGCGATAATTATCGCGTGTTACTAGCGAAATATTGTGGACGAAATAGGATTCCGTAGAAATCGATGATACTATATGTCTAGATTACAACAGTCAAATCCTTTTGCGATGTGTGTAAATATTTCAAATATGTTTAATCTTCCGGGATCAATGCTAAAAATATTTTTTTGATGCCATGCAATAATTTTAAACATTCAAGATCATCCGACACGATCAAATCGGATAAATTGCCTCCTTCGAAAAATTACTTGATAAAACTGAACATGGCCGGCATTGGTAAATGGAGAAAAAACAACACGCTCTTTTATACGACGTAAGTTTTAAAGCTTTTCTCGTATATCATTAGCTTATTATTTAAGCTTCAATAAAAGGACGAATGATCCAGAAAAACGCCAGAAATACCAAAAGGAGTATGGAATTTTAGAAGCTTATCCTTGACTTATTTAGGTCTAGAAAGAGGGTTTTAAGTTAATAGCCCTTAGCCTTCATTAAAAGGAGACAAATCGGTAATTACTTGCCAAAGATACTTTCTATCCATTACGATAAAGTGTTCATTCCAAAATATCCTTTCATAATATTAACAAAATAACAAAAACAAAAACAACAAGAAAAAATTAACAGAAAACACATACACATAATTATCTAGATTTTTCATAAAAGTAAAATAGGTTTTAATGGTTAATTAAGTATTTCTAATTTTTTGTAATGTATATCATTATAAATATTTAGAACAGTGTTTTATTGTTTAAATTGATTAATTACATAACCAAAATGTGTACAAGTATGAACTGTTTCATAAAGTGTACGTTTGAACGGTTCTATAGCGTGTACATGTATAAGTAGTAATCTTTCGTCAGTAAAATGTTAGTCGGCCCTCTTTTGTGTACTTTTAGACCTGTCAAATACAAAGTTGATAAAGTGTTATGTATTGCACGTAATAAAAAGTTGCAACATGCAGTTTTACAAGTAATTGAGGATAAGAGTTTCTTATTTAATTTTTAATGACATGTTTAAATCACTGTGAAAACAAAATTGAAAAGAAAAACTGTAATCCTGCTGGTCTCAAGTTTTTGTTACGTCACGATTTCAGGTTCCACGTGTAAAAATATTCAGTACACATTCATAAATGACCTATATATAAGCTGACATATTTTTATGTTACCTTACGCATGTAAGCTTACGTTATGTTATGAGAAATTATTTCCTGAAAGTGTACTGTAATTATTAAATATTTAAACATTAAAAAACAGGTTTTCTTAAACATTTTTTCTGCTGCTCTGTTTCCGCTTTGTAATGGTTTACTTGGTTTACATGAGCATTTGTGTGTCTTATTTATTTCACCTTCTGTAACTATTACAATGTTTAGAATTCCACTTGGTGGGCATCATTGTTTTTTTACTGTTTTGCCGGTTTTAACTCTTTAATACTGCCTCTGCTTTTGACCGTTTTAGATGCGGTGCCCCTGAATGTCCCTTCCAATGTTTTGTCACAATATTTATGTTTATTATATAATTTCTTGTTCATGAAACTGATGTTTATCAATTAATCCTTCCATTTATAGCTAAAAATAAATTCGGGAGCAAGAATTCCTTCCGATTTCTATGATGTAAAGTTTTGTTACATCATATATTGGTTTCCCGTCGGTGATTCGCAGCATGGCATAAAAAATAATGAATTAGAACAGGAACAAACTTCACTCAGGCAGTATGAAATACAAAAACAAAAAATAAACTTAAATTCGGTAATTTATTTCTGACATTTGATTCTGCTACATGAAATTACTAACTATTTTGTAGTACAAAGTGGGTTATGTATGTATTTTATTGCTGTACATGAATTTGAAAGCTAAAAGTAAATAACCCCCGGAAATCTATTTAAAGAAGTAGTTTTAGTTTTGACCGAAATGGTTATTCATGTCGCGCTATGTTGTTAAATAACGAACTGGAGAAATTTGCAGGAAATGAAATGCAAACATATTCAACAATAAATTGCACTCTTTATAAATTTATTGAAAAAAAATTAAGTAGACCATTTTTCAAGAATTTTTGATAATCATAGTATTATCATATTGAAATTTCTCTCGGGTAAATTAATAACCTGTCTAGGTAACAGTCTTCCATTGATAAATAATGTTTCACAAGATCAACATGCCATGCAAATTTATATCTGGTCATCAGGACCCGGTTGGGATAAAATCATTATCCACTGTCATTTGGATAAATTCTGCTGTTCAAAAGTTGTCTAACAGATAAAATGCGCTATTCAGTGGTTAACTTTACCCAGTCATATGACCACCGGATACTGCCCTAAACCAGTGGTTATCCATCATCATTAAAACAGTAAAAACTATTAAAACGTTTTTAAAACCAGATTTTCTTACAAATATATGTTTATTTCTTTTCTTCACTAGAATATTTCATAAGAAATGCATCTATTAGGATTATGAAACATTTCTGAAAAAAGTGCTTTTAGAACCCATTTTCAATCTAAATTTGTGGTTGTCGAGTTCAGAAAATTCAGTCATAACTTTCTTATTCTTTAATAAAACTTACACGTGTCAGTACTCATTTTCTTAGTTTGAACATTACCACGGGGGAGGAAGTGTTACACGAAGGATGGAGTTCTTATGATAACTTGTTTGGAGTTCTTATGATAACTGTCACGGAGTTCCTGGAAAACGTCACGGATTTCTGTGGAAAACTTTTCTATATACTTGGAGAACTCATGTAAAAAATGGTCATTTTTACCTTTAAATGGGGAGTTTGAAGTGCTAAATTAAACTTTGATAATTAAGCTTGCTCTACATATTGTATAATATTTCAGAAAAACCTTTTAGTCCATTTTTCATCGCCTTTTTAAAAAAAAATCTGGTAGTTTTGAGTAAAATTTCCAAATTACTTCTCATTCGTACATATTGACCTTTTCATTTGTGATCTTCTTCGTTGCTATACATTAATACATAATTGTAATGCAAAGTTGCAAACATAAAGCCCAAGCTAATAAATTTATACCCGATTTTTCAAATGTCACGAAGTTCTTGTGATAACTCAAAATATGTCCTGGAGTTCTTATGATAACTTTTGTTACTGCCAGTGTGTTTCTTGTGCTTAATTACGGCACATTTAAGCGTAGTTTATTAGTCAATAAGTGTGTAAATCATTAGAAGGCATAGTACGCGTATCATTTGCATACACATTTGGTTATATAACGTTGATTTCGAGCGTATTTCAGTTCAAGAGATATTTTTCTTACCACCGTTTCGTGTGGGTTTTTTGTTTTTCTTTGTGTTTTTTTCCCCATTTTATTGGAATGACTGAAAACATACTTGATGAAGAGCATTTACTTACATGATAAAAATACGCTTTGCATTTAATATTTAAGCATGATTTCTTCATGTATACATCATTTCTGGCAGTTTTAGAGAACATTAAGTAATTATGCTATCGGTTTGCCGAAACAAATTACATGTAAATGGTGCTTTGCAGCACAATAGGAAGTAGTATGTGTAGTATGTACTACCTTTATCTAAATTTAAAAGAGGGGGTGTCATCTTTAGGTATTCAATGAATATCTTAATTCTCTAAAAGGTATCAATTTTTGTCATAGAAACGTATGAAGTTCTATGAAAATGATATGACAATAGAAAGTAAGTTTTTTTTGTGTTTGTTTTGGGTTTTACGTCACAGCTCGACACAGTAGAGGTCATATCGCGGCGACGTTCCAGCTTTACTGGCGGAGGAAGACAGTACTCAGGTGCCCTTCCGTGCATTATTTCAGGCACGAACGGGTACCTGAGTAGAACCACCGACGTTCCGTAAGCTAGCTGTATAGCGTCCTCACATGAAAGAATCCAAAGTCCCTGTCGGGATTCAAACCCACAGCGGTGAGAAAGTAAGTCTTTAATAATATATGTGAGTCACCATAAGGTTCATGCCGTTTCTTTCTCTATTATATCAAATGAAGCATCACTTGGCGTACAGAAATCTCAATATTGCGGAAAATTATTGCATACATTTTTCTTATCAAAGTTGCGGGTCCTTCCCCCTAAATAATCCTAGTTGTGGAAACTTTTTCTGTAATTGACAACAAAAATATATTGTCGAACTTCTTTCGCTCCAACCCGTAGAGCACGTGCAAATATGTTGAAAGAGATCGATAGTAATCGGTTGATTTTTTATGTTAAAAAGATCATACATTTCGGGTGCATGATGGGTGTGAAGGGTATCCCAGATATTTACTTGTTGTTTATGGTATAAATTGATACAAATTACTTAGCCGCTTCTTGAGGACAGCCCAACTATATATTGTCCTGCTTAAGAAAGGCGATTGCTTAAAAAACATGCGTAACTAAGAAAAAAAGTTAAATTTTTTTAACATTTTTTGCCTGGAGGGTTAAGCCATGTTTTCTGCTGAATACAGGTGACCGCTGGTTCAGGTTTCCTGAAGATAGCCCATAATTCACATGTTTTATCCTTTGTAGACTGTTTCATGTTCAATCTTTTCTTAAAAGATTTTGGGTTTTCTGACAGCCGAATCCTGAAAAACAGTTACCTAAAATTTACGTGCACACCAAGCTATATACATGTACCCGCAAATTAACTTTACTTTGTCATCATAATAACGATATGCATGTCTATTATGTGCGACTTATATATTTCTCTGTAGTTGCTGTAAATTCAGCGTTAACATTTCAAAGGAAACTTATGACATAAAACTTTATATACTCGTACACAGAAACATTTAGTGCATTCGTTCGGTTTTATAATGTAAATATGAATTTCGCACAAATTTTATTAGAAAAACATCTTTTTTAACTAAAACACGCTCAAAACCAACATTATATTACCTATTTTTGTGTTAGGCTGAGAGTATAAAGTTTCATGATAATTTAAACACTTATTAAATAATAAAATACGCGTAAACGTACCGTAATTAAGCACAAGAAACACGCTGGTAGTAACAAAAGTTATCATAAGAACTCCAGGACATATTTTGGGTTATCACAAGAACTCCGTGACATTTGAAAAATCGGGTATAAATTTATTAGCCTGG